AAATCACCAATTTGATTAGTGGAGGTGGGGACTAAATATTACATCATTCGAAGGTTCATTATCGCTGCGACTTCTGTCCGAATCCCCTCTTTAAATCGCAATAACAAAATCTTTGTGGGTCAGCAGTGTCTTAATTTCTCCCCAATTGTGTAGTTTTTGTGAAGAAAAAACTACTGGTCCTACAGCTATCAATCCTTTAAGAGTTTACAGTGTACACGGATTATCAGTCTTGGCATCTTGTGGTGATTTCCTTCCTCTGAATTTCCAATATCAAAGTAGTGACCAGAAAAATAAATGCGAGCCTCAACAGTTGCTGTCCATCACCATAAATTCAATCAATCAAACAACTCTACTGCTAGAATTTCTTTTTTTTTTTTTTAAATATTTCTGAAAATTCTTTATCCCATTGCACCTTCTGTCACTTCACAGATGTAGTTTTTGTTTGTTATTAAGAAATAGTCAGGCAGACACTTTGAACAGTAAACTGCACAACAAATTGCCCAACTTTTGCAATTATTCAATAATTACCACAGCACAGTCAATTGTATTATAACTTTTTAGTCGTTAATAATTGGCACCTTTGAAAATATAGAGTAGAAGCTCCCACAGCATTTCTAGAAAAGACAACCCACGTACATGACTTCTTCAAAGAAAATTAAATTAAACTAAAATAAAGTCTAATCAGTTTTAAGTTTCTGACTACGTACTTTTGTTTTCTTAAGATTTGAATTCAATCTCAAATATGCCAACCCTCCATTCCGCAAATCTAATCGTGTCTGCAATTAACATAAGAAAGAAAAGTAAAGAATGTATCGTTATACACACATGAACGCGTTTTTCTTTTGTCTATATTTGATTCAATTTGATTTTAGATAAACTTCTCTTTTATAAAGCATATAAAAACGAAGCAAAAATATTTTTCAAAATTTTCAAGGTTACCGTACGACATAAGATTCTGTGTGTCACTTCTTTGGGAAAAAAGGAAGAAATAGCTCACCTCGCCTTTTCTAGAAAGTTTAGACCCTACCGGTATTGGGTTGTATAATTAATACCAACGAAAGTAATGCTAACAAGAAACAGTGCTTAAGTTTTTAAAGCCTAGACCGATCAGAATAAAAGTTGATAAATGCTCTTAGATGTATTATCAAAATGTTTTGAGTTCGAGTTCCCCGTTGCTAATAGGGTAGCTAGTTAACTCTTACCGGATCGATAATTTCAGGATCCTAAAAGATTAGTTAAAATATCTTCATTTTACCCAAAGGTCCAAACCATGGTCTAGCAAATAAGCCGGAGTTTGAAGCCATTACTCCTGAAATTTATGGTTATTGCAAGAAATATTGCTCATTGTCTAGCTTCTTATATGCTATGGTAACATGTTCATGTTTCTCTCATTTAATTCATGGTAGTATTACTTGAACTAGGAGTAACTAAGGCTGCCATGGAATTAATTAAGTTGTACCGACAACCTAGTACTCTGGTGCGCGAGATGTATGGCGCCTGGGAGATCTTCAACCTTAATTTGCTCTTAACCCGTGGATCAACTCACGGGATTATAGATAATTTATAAACTAGTACTAAACGTTGGTAGATTCTTAACTTCCAGTCAACTCATCAAATGTTTAACACTTAACATAATACCTAGATCTAATATGGGAAAAGCTAGCTCCATCTACCGGAGGACAACTAGTCCTGGAAATTTAAGGCCTTGTAGAAATTAAGGAGCAAATTCTTTTCCAGGGCACTTTCAGTTTCAACCAACCTTTTTTTCCCGGGAAAAATAAGCAACGATATTGCTTAACTTGAATTATTATATCAGTTTCCAATGACTAAGGGAATGTGACATTGAACCTATTGATATGCTTTTTGTTCAACCCCACACTGAGTAACTAACAATTCTTCGTACAGAAATTGGAATGTTAAATGCTAATCACATTAAATTATTTTATATATAATTCAAATCCAGTATTCACTTTGACGCGGGAATTAGCATAATAACAACAGCACTTGACTATACCTTTAAAATCGATAAACAAGTCTCAATCACAAAAATTTAAGCGTAAAGTTTAAGGAAACTGAATATATCATTGAATATCTAAAAAAAAAAACAAATAATATGTTATATAAGGTGGTACAACCAACCTAACAGACTCCACAATACAAGAAAAAAAATCCAAATTCTTAAAAAAAAATAAAAAATAAAATCCTAAAATAATATAGGAAATACGTTCAGAAAACTAATGGCATTGAAACAGTGGATTTCCATTGATATATTATGGGTCCCGTAATCCTCCCGATGAAAAATTATAACTGTTGTAAATTGGTCTGTTGCATTTGGGCTTCTAACACACGACCCTCTCTAGGAATTTACTGTTAGACATTCGACGTCACACTTTCATTTAACATACAAACGAATGTAGCAATAAATAGAAAACACTTATGCCAACTCTTTGAGGTTTGATTATTCTATGACTCAATGCTACATTTAATTTGTGAGAGTGGTTATATGATTGAAATTTATTTATTACTGAACATAGAATATGTTTCTGTTGCTCAAACTTTAACATATGAAACGAATGTTTACCAGATTATTCCCACAACTACTGCCACCGATGAGTTATTGATTATTGGAAAAACGATCTCCATATCATCACCATTAGAATAAGTCCTAATCTAACAATTATAATCAAAACACTTTATGAGCTTGTTAGTGTTAGTTGCTTTTACAACTATTATTCATTTATTTTAATAACGATACAGCATGATTCTTTTCTATAAATTATTGAACTCAGGCTTTACAATTATATATTCTTTCTACATCCACAAATTATTTTTTTGAATTGATGTATATGGTAAGAATAAAAGAATTGAGAGAGCAAAAATCAATTTAATTATGATAAGGTTTAATTAAGAAAATGAGAAATTAAGGTATATGTTGGTATGTAGGTTTTGTAAGTGTTTTGAAGAAAGAAATTGATGGTATAAATAACTTATTATTATAAAAGTGGAACTCATCTAGTTGAAAATTAGGGGAAATGAAACCACCCTCCATCATACCATTAGATCAAAATAGGGTCTTATACCTGCAGTTTAGATGGGCTAAAATTTTGATGAAAGAGCCAGATCGCATGTAAATCAGGGCATGGAAGCCCAGTCTGGATCAAACTATGGATCCCAAATGAATTCCTAGAGCCCAACATCCAAAAAAATTGTGATACTATACAGTCCCTTCTTGTTTTAGACAGCGTAGTCATGAGATAAATATGCAGTTTCCTTTCATCTAATCACCCTATTAAACTCCTAAGGGGGCGTTGGTTGGAATACCGTGGATTACTACGTTTGATTGTCAAATAATATAAAATTTTGATAATCTTCAAATTATAGTAGTTACTGTTGGTAATATTGGAAGTAATCTGATTACCTCTATTTCTTAGGTATTCTAATGATATCAGGGTAATTTTTTTTTTTACAATTCTATCTCTTAGCACCACCGCCACTAGAAAGATGCGCGGAAGGTCGAAAATGGCCGTCGTGCATCGATATGGCCGGTCAACCAGATCTGGCGTGTCTGCTATTTTCAACCAGATCTTTGGCCGAAAATGGCCAACCGGCGCACGGAGGCTATTTCGTGCCTTCTGTGCGCCGTTAGGTTGCCAGCGGCCTACAGTGGCTAGTTGGTGGGGGTGCTTTGTTGATTTTTAAACTTTATATGAGGTTGTTTTTGCTAAGTTTTTAAATGCAAGGGGTTATAAAATCCAAATAATACAATATTAAAAAATAATATAATAAAATATTTATTGAAGACATTAAGTAATTTAAATAATATACCCACCCATTTATTCCTCCCAACCAAACATATTAATAACATCCCCCTAATTACCAAACACATTTTCTTAAAGATTCCCAGTAATCTTCAGGTAATCAACTTTCAGTATCCCATATTCCCATAATCCAATATTCTTTGAACCAATGCCCCTAAGGGAGTGGTTTGGTATTAAGAAGGTTGTGTCCCTTTATTGACTACTAGATTCAAATCACTTTGGAACCATTTACACATTGTGGCTTATGTGGACATTGAACTGTAGTATTCTAGAATTTCAGGAATTAGTTAAGATGGGTGCAAATGGCCCGAACACCCTGGTTATCCAAAAAAAAAAAAATCACTGTATTTATTTTAATTGCTTCCCAACTTGTTACTCGGATTCGATTTTAGGGTCGTTATTATATAGGAACAAATTTAACTATATTAGGCTTGTGTTTTTAGATTGTATTTTACAGGAGTGCAGACCCAAATCCGAAAGGAAGGAATTAGTTAAGAAGAGAAGTCCAAATTCAAGAATAGACTGGTAAAAGAGTATTTCACCCTCCGAGCATATTAGTTGCCTAACCTATGTGGAGGAGTAATCCATGTAATTAGGAGAACTAAGGGCAAAAGGAACTAAATAAATTTTCTCCTCATTTTCCCTCACTTTTCTTCCAACCAAAACCATAATTTCTCACATAAATTCTACAAAAATCTATATTGAGATCTTAGAATCTTCAATTATCTTTTTGTTTCCTTTCACCATTATTTCACAATCATAACATTCTTTATAATTTCTCATAACAGTGTGAGCTAGATGATAATATTTAATACAGGGATAATAAGGAAACCAACGAACCGCCCAAATGGCGACAAGTTTGATTACAGTAACACAGTCAATCAGATATTGAACGTTGATGTCAACATCTCCATGTCATTCCAAAGTACCTAGCGGACAAGCCCTCCATCCCATCAGAATCTTAACCACACAACACAAATCTTTTCACTCAAGTTTAAAACAACGACCCCACAAACGTCAATTTACGTTTTTCAATGGACTTCTATCAACTGAACGAAAGGGCGAATCACCGCATAAATAATCTTTAATCTTACCACCTGACAAGACTTTTTTTAATTAATTAAGGCCACTTGTCTAACAGAGTGATCTTCCCTTAGTAAATTGTTGATAGATAATATCAACACTAAATACAAGAAGCAATCAATCAAGCTATAGTGCTTTTGTTGCATCCTCGTATTGTTTATGTCCGTAGTGATCTTCTCCATAACTTGAAGATTTCCTTCTGAAATATCTGTAATAAATGTACTGCAATATGATCTATTTTGATGCGTTAAGGTTATATTAACAATAAAAATTGATTTATAACTCAACTTTAAAAATTTTCTCTAACAATTTTGACATGACAGTTTACAATTTGACAAACGAGATCCATTATTAGATTGACAAAATTAATTACGAATTGACTAATTATAAACTATCATATCGAGATTGTTAGGAAAAATTGGTAAAATTTAGATGTAAATAAACCAAAAACTAAAAACTATAATAATAGTTGATTGCTTTAGAAAATTTACAACAGAGAAGGATACAAATAAGTCCAGCGCCACGCAGACTATGGCATCCAGCAACCATGGCATATTGGCTTTTATATTTTCCCATTCAGTGTTTCTCACAAGAATACTGCATTCATATTAGGGATCCATGGTTAAGAATAAGATTAATTAAATATAATAATAATAATAATAAGTAAAGTTGAGAGAAATAGACAGCACAACCTTAAAACGTAAGTGACATTGGCCACCAGTGCAAAGAGGAACATAAGAGGATTTAAGCCCTATAACAAGGTTGTGATTTATTTGATCAGTCAATCTTTCAAGATTTATTTGAGTAGTTATGAATTGAAGACTGCAGTGAGTATAGAGTTAAGAGCATCACCTCCACACTCCCTCTTTTAATCTGATGATTGGAATTAATAAAAAATAGATTTGATTAGTAACGTGACAAAATTAATGTATAGGAGGACAAGAAAGAAATTAAATTTGTCAAATTTAAGTGGACTTTTACATTTAGCCATATTTGAGGAAGTCGACCGCCCATGTATATAGCAGCCATCAGCCATCCCAGCCATTGTCCAAAGACACTGTGCTCCGTGCTGCTTCCCTGATATTAATATTTACAGTTTCAAACACTTAATAAAAAACAATATAAAAACCATGGCCAAAATATACATAAACAGAGTCTTTTGTAAAAACTTATCTTACATTTAAGACTCTTCTTGAGTTAAACCCGGCAATTGTTTCTGTCAATGCCTTACTCTGCATCGGAAGATTAAGAGATACAGCAAGAAATGTTCCATAACCAGCCTGAAAACACATCATGTCACATCTAGTAAAAGGAATTAAACTAAAATGACCAAATAAATTAACAGAGAAAAAGAATATATGACTGACGGATCTTGGAATTGGCCTGGGCTGGCTAACAGAGTGAGTCTTAGATGAAACCGGAGCCGCTTCATCGTCAGACGATGAATCGTCGTTAAAGCGCATGGTTGAAGGCCCACTTTGGGCTGCCCTAAGATAAGTTCGAAAGGGGGGAGTACCACTGCCAGCTAAAGATCTAGCGGATCTGAAACATGTTTTACATATTGATATTTAGAAGAGTGTTAAAACACTGAACATTAAGTGTCTAAGGGGAGAATTTAATATTGCATACGTGTAGTAATACTCTCTCCGAGAATATGCTTTTACTTCAGCCCCGGGAATGGGGATGCCTGTGTCAGCTGACTTAGGTTTCAAAGGCTCCTTCTCATCTTTATCCTGCATATAAATATACAAATAAAACCTGTAAATACCTCTTATCTAAGGTAAACAAATTCGTAAAGTAGATATTTAGATGTTGAGAAAGCGTACTCCCAGTTTAGCTTTGATTTGTCTGGATTTCCACCTTTTGTAGATGTGATCATAGTACAAGCCTTGCAACACCAATACTATAGTACTGATCGTGTAGAGCTGGGAGAAGAAGTCAAGGAAATTGGTTTAGTTTTGACAAAGAAAAGCCTTAATATACAGTATCCAGATCTTTGTCAAAAAGTTCTTGATTTCCAGATTCTTTTTTATTCGAGTTTATCCAAAGGAATTAATAATTTATAAAATATAAAATATTTAAGTTTATCATGGATTATTATTAATAAAAAGTAGGATGCACATTTAGGTAACTTTTTCATTTACTCAATAATTGTTGACATAAACCGAGAGTAAACCCCATTTTTGGGTGTAAAGCTATAGAACAGGCACTTGCAATTACTAAAGAGGTTCAGGGTTCGTTTAGTAATTGAACATATGTATAAAGGTAGCAGGAGCCAAGAAAGTGCGGTATTACCAGAGCTGTGTAGTACTGCGTTGGTAACTGCATCAAGAAAATAAAACAGAAAGATATCAGACAAAAGACTTTATGAAATATTTATATAATATTAGAAAAGTTAATCTAGAATATTAATTTTATAAAAAGAGATTTAATCTAGATTATTAGTTTAATGAAAAGAATGAAGAACTACTAGTGAAATGTTGTCAGAGCCATCCAGTGTGAGGTTGTTCTCTCATTACCGGACGACTGGACCACAAAAGCTGTATAGGAGTTGAGTTAATTTTCAGTGTCACACTCACCGTTGCTGGTTCGAGAAGACAACCCACCAGATTAAAAACATCTCTGTATCATTATAAGATAAATTAACTGTTAAAATGAGTAGAAACGTCGAACTTTGTTTATGTGCGTCAGTGCGCGTGTGCGTGTTGCAGATAAAAGAACAAAGAACAAACCCGGCAACCCAAGTGAGGAGAAATGCTAAAGAGACTCCATGGCTAGACTTTGTGTGGAAGTTGGTGATGATTTGAGGGATCTCTGCAACTCCCCAACAGACTAGACTAACGATCCCAAAGCCAAAAGAGAAATCATCCTGGAGATTGCAGAGGCAGTCTTTGAAATACCTCTCAACCCAACGCACACAAGGCTTGTTCTCTTTAACACAATAAGCTAAAGACATAGCTAATATGTCTGTCTCTCTCTTTTCTGAAAAATGAGTGTAGTTTTGTTGGTGAAGTTGATAATGGTTTTTAAAGGCAGAGAGGTGAGGTTTATATTACAGAAGAGAATCCTTATTAGTAACGGATAAGTAGGTGTGCTTGTGTTGTTATTTTACTTTGAGGAAGGGACCCAATTGTAAAAACCAGAACATGCTAGTTGAGTGTCATCATGTCGACAGCATATTCTTGCTGTGCTACGGATGATGCCAGAAATTAATTTTCATGTCACCTTGTGGCCGTGTGGGTAAATATGAGACTCTGACTTCTTGAATAATGTGGTTCGCATATTCTTGTGGATATGTCCTTTCTGTTGGTACTATGGCAAACGTTGCTAAGCCTACGGTCCAGATTTTTTAAAAGGAGTAAGCAATTAGTGATCGGGTTCCACTTGAATGGTTCATAATTTCGTATAAAACGTGGCATAGGGACGTACCATTTATCTGGGATTAACCTGGGTGGTCAACTGGTCATGTTTGGTCCAAAAGGAAATATATTCTATAGTTTTATAACGTATATCAATAAAGCTCCCAAATATTTGCATTATGATATTGTAGGCATCAGAACTAGCACCAAAAGAACTATCTCGTTCCTGCTTGAATGCAGTGACAGTGTATGAAAAAGAAAATTGAAGTATAAGAAAGTTGTTTATTATTAGGTTATAGACTTATTAAAGGCAACAGTCTGCATTTGATTACAAGTTAATGGTTTTATTCACTGCATCCAATCTTCACTGCGTTGAAAAATGGTAATGAAATCGGCACACGTGTAACCGTCGTGGAAATGCTATAGTCTTTTTCAAATTTCTTGGTCTTAGAAATAATTATTATAAATTAGAATTACTCCCATCAATGTTTTCTATACAGAGGAGGTATACGAAGTTTAACCTTCGTCCTTCATCTTCATTATTTTTCTACCTCTCTTTCTTTTTTTTTCGTTTTTCTTTTATTTTTTTATTTACTTTATAAGTTTCTTTATAGAATTTTTTGTAAGAATAGACTTACTCTTTGTATATAATGTCTTTATCTAAAATACTTGTAAGCATTAAATTAATTCATGGATTCAACTTTTGTTGACTACGAGACTAGCATAAGAAATCAAAGCTTTAATGGTCCTTCCAATAAATGAAATTATCGTGAGAGCTTTGAAATGTCAATTCTTACAGGTCGAAAGATAAAAGAGTTCTGATCCAAATGGTGATATGATCTGTCCAGCTAGTTACAGTGTAGTTGAGTTAAAATTTACCACTACGAATCAAACCCAATATAGGGGCCAAGTTCAATATAGAAAAATGACAAAGTAAACCCCGACAATTATGTGCATACTTCAATCGGCTTTATTTGATTCTACTCAGTTGAATGTGGCCTCAAAAGCATCTGGGTTCATTATGTAAACACATATGCTTGATAAAGTAGGCTTAAGTAGAACTTACTCTAAAAAACTAACTCAAAAGAGGAGAGAACTCAATAACTTATATACACCATAACAGTCCATTATTGAGGCGATGTAGGACAAATTAAACTTCTAACACTCTCCCTTACGTTCGGCATACAAGACCGAGGTCTAAACCCATCATCGTCCTAACTAAAAAGGGGAAAGAAACAAACATGGTTCTGATACCATGATAAAGTGGGCTTAGGTAGAACTCACTTCTAAAAACTAACTCAATAGAAGAGGGAATCCAATCACTTATATATGTCATAACAACCCACTATTAGGACGATGTGAAATAAATTTAACTTCTAATCATGCTTCCAGGCTCTTATCCTAGAAATGATATTAGTGACATTTTACATGTTTGATAAATGATAAACACAGGTCAATCTATGGTTTTGTTAAATGATTTGGTTTATTGATGTTATTATCTGAAATTACATTTATATCTGAATTGAACAGTTTTGCAGAATATAATCCAATAATATCAATATTAAAATAAATATATAATAATATTTATTAGAAGACAATTAATAATTTAAATAATATACCCACCCATTTATTCCCCCAACCAACATATATATATACATACCCACTAATTACACAACACATTTTCTTAAATTCCAGTAATCTTCAGGTAATCTAACTTTTCAGTAATCCAATATTCCCAATAATCCAATATTCTTTGAACCAAATGCCCCCTAAGGGATTGGTTTGGTAGTTAAGAAGGTTTGTTCCCTTTATTGACTTACTAGATTCAAATCACTTTGGAACCATTTACCACATTTGTGGCTTATGTGGAACATTGAACTTGTAGAGTATTCATGAATTTCAGGAATTAGTTAAGATGGGTGCAAACTGGCCCGAACACCCTGGTTATCCAAGAAAAAAAAAAATCACTGTATTTATTTTAATTGCTTCCCAACTGTTACTCGGATTCGTTTATGGTCGTTATTTATAGGAACCATTTAACTATATTAGGCTTGTGTTTTTAGATGTGTATTTAACAGGAGTGCAGACCCAAATCCAAAAAGGAAGGAAATTAGTTAGAAGAGAGTCCAAATTCAATAAGACGGGGTAAAAGAGTAATTTCACCCTCCGAGCATATTAGTTGCCTAACCTATGATGGAGGGTAATCCATGTAATTAAGGAGAACTGAAGGGCAAAAGAACTAATAAAATTTTCTCTCATTTTCCCTCACTTTTCTTCCAACCAAACACCATAATTTCTCACATAAATTCTACAAAAATCTATATTGAAGATCTTAGAATCTTCAATTATCTTTTTGTTTCCTTTCACCATATTTCACAATCATAAACATTCTTTATGAATTTCCATCACGTGTTGAGCTAGATGATAATATTTAATACAGGGAATAAAAGGAAACCAACTGAACCGCACAAATGGCGACAATTGATTACAGTAACACAGTCAATCAGATATTGAACGTTGATGTTCAACATCTCCATGTCATTCCAAAGTACCTAGCGGACAAGCCCTCCATCCCATCAGAATCTTAACCACACAACAAAATCTTTTCACTCAAGTTTTAAAACAACGACCCCACAAACGTCAATTTACGTTTCAAGTGGACTTCTATCAACTGAACGAAATGGCGAATCACCGCATAAATATAATCTTTAATCTTACCCACCTGACAAGACTTTATTTAATTAATTAACGGCAACTTGTCTAACAGAGTGTCTTCACCTTAGTAAATTGTTGATAGATATATACAACACTAAATACAAGAAGCAATCAATCAAGCTATAGTGCTTTTGTTGCATCCTCGTATTGTTTATGTCCGTAGTGATCTTCTCCATAACTTGAAGATTTCCTTCTGAAATATCTGTAATAATGTACTGCAATATGATCTATTTTGATGCGTTAGAGTTATATTAACAATAAAAATTGATTTATAACTCAACTTTAAAATTTTCTCTAACAATTTTGACATGACAGTTACAATTTGACAAACGAGATCATTATAGATTGACAAAATTAATTACGAATTGACTATTATAAACTATCATACGAGATTGTTAGGAAAATTGGTAAAATTTAGATGTAAATAAACCAAAAACTAAAAAACTATAATATATGTTATTGCTTTAGAAAATTTACAACAAGAAGGATACAAATAAGTCCAGCGCCACGCAGACTATGGCATCCAGCAACCATGGCATATTGGCTTTTATATTTTCCCATTCAGTGTTTCTCACAGAATACTGCATTCATATTAGGGATCCATGGTTAAGAATACGATTAATAAATATAATAATAATAAGTAAAGTTGAGAAATAGCACAGCACAACCTTAAAACGTAAGTGACATTGGCCACCAGTGCAAGAGGAACATAAGAGGATTTAAGCCCTATAACAAGGTTGTGATTTATTTGATCAGTCAATCTTTCAAGATTTATTTGAGTAGTTATGAATTGAAGACTGCAGTGAGTAAGAGTTAAGAGCATCACCTCCACACTCCCTTTTAATCTGATGATTGATTAATAAAAATAGATTTGATTAGTACGTGACAAAATTAATCGTATAGGAGAATAAGAAAGAAATTTATTTTGTAAAATTTAAGTGGACACTCACATTTAGCCATATTTGAGGAAGTCGACCGCCCATGTATATACAGCCATCAGCCTCCCACCATTGTCCAAAGACACTGTGCTCCATGCTGCTTCGATATAATATTATAGTTTTAAACACTTAATCAAAAACAATATAAAAACCATGGCCAAATATACATAAATAGAGTTTTTGTAAAAACTTATCTTACATTTAAGACTCTTCTTGAGTTAAAACCCGCAATTGTTTCTGTCAATGCCTTACTCGCATCGGAAGATTAAGAGATGCAGCAAGAAATGTTCCATAACCAGCCTGAAACACATCATGTCACATCTAGTAAAAGGAATTAAACTAAAATGACCAAATAAATTAACAGAGAAAAGAATATATGACTGCAGGATCTTGGAATTGGCCTGGGCTGGCTAACAGAGTGAGTCTTAGATGAAACCGGAGCCGCTTCATCGTCAGACGATGAATCGTCGTTAAAGCGCTATGTTGAAGGCCCACTTTGGGCTGCCCTAAGATAATTTCGAAGGGGGGAGTACCACTGCCAGCTAAGATCTAGCGATCTGAAACATGTTTTACATATTGATATTTAGAAGAGTGTTAAACACTGAACATTAAGTGTCTGAGGGGAGAATTTAATATTGCATACGTGTAGTTACTCTCTCCGAGAATAGCTTTTACTTCAGCCCCGGGAATGGGATGCCTGTGTCGCTGACTTAGGTTTCAAAGGCTCCTTCTCATCTTTATCCTGCAATAAATATACAAATAAAACCTGTAAATACCTCTTATCTAAGTAAACAAATTCGTAATTAGATATTTAGATGTTGAGAAAGCGTACTCCCGTTTAGCTATGATTTTTCTGGATTTCCACTTTTGTAGATGTGATCATAGTACAAGCCTTGCAACACAATACTATATACTGATCGTGTAGAGCTGGGAAAGGAGTCAAGGAAATTGTTTGTTTTGACAGAAAAAGCCTTAATATACCTATCAGTATCCAGATCTTACTTGTCAAAAAGTTATTGATTTCCAGATTCTTTTTTATTCGAGTTTATCCAAAGGAATTAATA